AATAAAGGATAATAGTTGGGGTACCCGAAGAGATCTTGAGGCTGACAACTTCTTTATCATAATTCTGTTTTAATTGTGTACGTATGTCTGTGTGTTCAGAATTAATGGGCTGAACCTTAACCAAAGCAGCAGAAGTCAGAACAAAAAGCTGGATGGAAACTAATCAAGGAGAAATTTTCAGACAGTGAGAACAAATAATCAGTAGAATAGCTTGGCTTCGGAAGTTGTGGATATTCCAGCATTGGAGGCTTTTAAGAAGAGACTGGGCAACCATTTGTCTGAAATGGTATAGGGCAAGGGTGTTACACTCAGGCCCGGGAGCTGGATCTGGCTCTCAGGGTGCTTAGATCTGGCCCATGGGTGCCACCCTAGGAAAAGCAAAGGACCGGCCTACGGTGCCTCTGCCCATGAAAACAAGGCCCATGGACAGACCTCCTGAGCTCCGTTTTTGCTGGCAGAGTGTTGCAGGAAGCCATCGCAGCCGAAAATAGAGCTCAAGAGCCTGTTTTCACTGGCAGAGTGCTTAGGCTGCCACAAGCACCTCCGACATGAGTGACATGGAGCTGGCCACACCCACTCTGGCCATGTCCACCCCGGCCCCCTAAAGTCAAACACAACCCTGATGCAGCCCCCAATAAAATCGAGTTTGACACCCCTGGTATAGTGTCTCCTGCTTGAGCAGGGGGTTGGACTAAAACTCTGTTATTCTGTTCTGTGCTGAACAAAAGAAAAACAACCAAAAGCAACTGTATGCCTCTCTGGTGGTCTTTTAATCAATCTTAATGAATGAAATTCACGCGGTAGAAGTAAAGAGTGAGTCTTAAGAATAGTTCAAGGACCAACAAAAAGATAGGTGGAAACGTTTAGCTGAATACTAATAGCAGATGCTATTTAAGATTCTCTACCAGAGAAAGGCCTCATAAAAGGGGGGTTTGATTCTTAATACAACTGAATATTAAGAAATGAAAAAAATAATAATTGGAAACTGTAGCAAGTGGCAGAACCTATACGTTGCATTGATTTGGAATGTGTGGTGTGAAATTTGAAACTACTCCAGTACTCAAACTCAGGCATATGCAGTAAAATAAATGGAAGAATTCTGAATTTCTAGAAATGTTCTCAGACCAAAAGTGAAATTCTTCCTCCAGCTTTCTTTTCTTCAGACAGATTCTTTTTATTTGTTGCAACCTAGTTGTCTTATCACAGCAATCCTTATATTCTTTTTAAGAAATTTCAGCTGACCTCTATGTTCCATATTAGCAGGCTTGAAACCGTGCATTCCTATTGGAGTGAAAAGGTTCCATGATTACGTCTATGGTAGGACCTTTTCAATCATTACTGATCACAAACCTCTGCTAGGCATATTGGCAGGCAACAAGGCCACCCCAAACATCCTGTCACCTATGATGACTAGGTGGTCCGAGTTCCTGGCCTCCTATAATTACCAGCTCACGCACCGACCCGGTAAGGACATTTTGCACATTGATGCTTTAAGCTGTTCCCCGCTTCCAGACATGCAAGACAATCCAGCACCCACGATACCGGTCCTTCAAATAGAAACTTTACCCAGCCCACTCCTGACCATGCCAGACATCGCCTGCAAAACAAAAAAAGACAAGCGGCTGGCGCAAGTCCTGAGCTGGGTAGAGAGAGGTTGGCCAGAAAATGACAAAACCGAACCTTTTAAAGCCTTTAGGAACCAGCAAACTGAACTTTTTTCACAAAAAGGGTGCATACTTTGGGGAGACTGGGTGGTAATACCAGAAACCTTACAAAAACGACTACTGGACATGTTGCATGACGGGCACCCAGGCATCGTCCGAATGAAAGCCCTGGCCAGAAGTTACGCTTGGTGGCCAGGGATGGACAAGCAGATCGAAACATGGGTAGCCGCTTGCAACAGATGCCAACAAACACGATCCATCCCCCCCCACAGCACCACCCCTGGAATGGGAAACCCCTAGAGGCCCCTGGTTGCGGATCCATATAGATTTCGCTGGCCCCACTAAAGGACAGATATTTCTGATTACCGTCGATGCTTATTCAAATTGGCTGGAAGTTAGCACTATGAAAACAACAACTACTGAAGCCGTCATAATGAAACTAAACAAACTCTTTGCCACACACGGTTTGCCAGACGAGCTAGAGTCCGACAACGGACCAGAGTTCACGGTGCTGGCATTTGAACAATACCTGGCTGACCGAGGCATCAGACATGCTTTAACATCACCTGTTTACCCAGCGGCGAATGGGTGGGCAGAACGAATGGTTCAGTTTACCAAAAAAACTATACAAAAAATAGAAGACGGCAACATTCAGGAAAAAATTAATAAAATGCTACTCATACAACATATCACGCCTAACACAACCACAAACAAATGCCCAGTGGAATTACTTATGGGCAGAAGACTCCGTTCACCACTAGACCGCTTACACCCCATATATAATCCAGAGAAACCCCCAGGCTCCACCAGCCGACACCGTGCATTTAACATCAGTGACACTGTTTTTGCAAAAAGTTTCACCGGAGACCCTCTCTGTGTACCCGCACAGATCACCCAAATAACCAGACCCCGGTCATACCGCCTAGAAACAACCAATGGTCAAAGCTGGAAGCGACACATCGACCAGTTATGGTCAAGGCTAGCCAGCACACCTCCCACAGACGGTAACAAAGAAATCAGAGGGAGGGGAACCTCAAACATTGAAAAAGAAAAACTCTTAACGCAAGCAGAACACTCCCCAATCAGAAGCCAAACAATCAACCAACCATACTCACCTGAAAACACAGAACCGTTGCAGACGGGTGCTTCACCTGAAAGGAGTAGCCAGACAAGCTCGACCAGCCCAGAGAATCCAGGTGGGAGTGGCAGAGTGAACGACTCGACCAACCTGGGCAGACCAGGCGGGAGTCACAGCTATAGGCCCGGCTCACCATTCCAGGCGGTTCCACCGAGATGGTTGAGAGTGACGCGGAGCCCGTCTGAACCAGGCAATGACCAGAGACCTACTGAGATGCGCAGGTCAAGTAGGCAGGTCCGAAGACCCGCCTACCTACACGACTACATCACCCCGCCCCTTGGACGAAACCAAGAGGGGAGGGGTGTTCCATATTAGCAGGCTTGAAACCCTGCATTCCTATTGGTCTACAAAGACAGTTACCTGATTGGACAGTCAGGACGGCTGTGATTGGTTCACTAGGAGCCTACCGAGATTGGATGAAACCAATCGTGGGAAGCTCAAAGCGATGTCATTGGCCGCCTAGCCGCGGCTAGCTCTGTAAGAAGAGCCGCCATGAGCGCTGTTTTTTACTCGGGACTAGCCTGTAAAATAAAGAGCTGTTGTTCACTGAACCTGAGTCTCTCGTCTCTATGAGCCCGACCTGCCGAACATAACACTCTAGGTATCTCCAGTTTTTAGGAGATGATTTTATAGCTACTCAGGCACCTGTGAAGCATTCCCCCACCATACCAGTAATAGGGAACCTCCCTG